TCTCGTGTGCGTAATTGTGTGGAAATTGCGAAATTATTGGATCATTATGATTATATAAAATCTCCAGAATTATTTGGTGCTCTGTTGAGTAAATTTCCACAGTCTTTACGTTCACGATGGCTTGACTATGCAAAACAAAATTGGGAAGGCCAGGCCAAGGTAGAGCTACTGTCTGATTTTTTATCATGCGAAGTCGACCTAGTTCTACAATTTGGCTCAAGCAACGAAGCTACGACTTCTTCGCACCGTGAGCGTTCACACGCTGTGTCGGAGTATGAATCGAAGCCTGTTCATGAAGCTGCGACTACATGCAATGAGCAAGCGCGGGCTGGTTTGGAGTCTGCCTCGGGTGCAATTAAGAAGAGCACCAGGCCCAACAAAAAGCCATTGATCACGGTTTGTTGTTGTTGTTGTTTACAAAATCATCTGTTGTCAAAATGTGACAAATTTAGTTCAATGACAGTGGATGACAGATGGCATTTTATCAAAGAGAATAAAATTTGTTATCGTTGCCTTATACCAGGTTCGCATAGTTTTAAATATTGCAATAAAAATAAGACAAACTGTTTAGTAAAAGATTGCAACCGCAAACATAACACTCTGCTACATAACCCTAATTTTAACAATTCTACTAAGCATCCTGAAGTCCAGCCGTCTACGTCTTCGGCTGAACAGGTTTTGATTAGCACCACAGCCGAACATACAAACCTCTCTTTCCGACCTATGTTAAAGATAGTAGCTGTCACTGTCTCTGGTCCAGCTGGAAGCATTGATACGTTCGCCTTATTAGATGATGGCTCGACTGCAACCTTTATCGAATCCGATATTGCGAAAAAGATAGGCGTGTCAGGTCCAGAAGGGCAGATACACCTTGACTGTGTGGGTGGTTTGTCACAGGATAGTACCGTACAATATGTCGACTTTAAAATAAAAGGCAAACACGCTTCTGATAGCTTTTTCGTTTGTAGAGCACGTTCTATTAAGAATTTAGGCCTATTAAGGCAATCCGCTACTCACGCCGATATAAGCGCTTTTCCGCATTTATGTGAGCTTTCACGCGAGCTTTGTTATGTCGATGCAAAACCTTCGTTAATAATTGGTGTAGATAATTGGGCTTTGACTATCGCATATGAAACCAGACAGGGTACTAAGTCGCAACCTGTAGCTATAAGAACTGCTCTAGGATGGGTTGTGTATGGGTTTCCGAGTAGCATAACTAAGCCTCTACAATATGCTTACCACGTATCTCTTCGGGAGCAGGACACTTCAGACCCACGTCAACGTTTAGAATTGATGATCAAAGAGCAATATAAATTAGATGCTATAGGCATTACAAAGTATGAGCCTCGTAGTACCGAGGATCAACGCGCTCTCCAAATTTTGTCAAACACAGCGCGTCGCTTACCAAATGAACGCTTTGAAGTTGGACTTTTATGGAGGGACGATGATCCTGTGGTACCCGACAGTTTTCCACTGGCTTTAGCTAGATTTAGGAGCCTTGAAAGGCATATGATACGGGATCCACAATATGCAGAAAAATATCGACAAAATATTCATGATACTCTCCGAAAAGGTTACGCTGAAAAGTGTGAGTCTATATCAGCTAAATCAGTTTGTTGGTATTTACCTCACTTCGGTGTTGTGAATCCCAACAAACCGACAAAGCTTCGAGTCGTTCATGATGCTGCTGCAAAAACACAAGGGGTGTCCCTTAATTCATTATTGCTTACGGGACCTGATCTTCTGCAATCTCTACTTGGAATTTTGATGCGTTTTAGAGAAGGGAAGGTAGCCCTAACAGCTGATATTAGGGAAATGTTCCCTCAAATCAAAATTCGGAAAGAGGATAGGGATGCGCAACGTTTTATCTGGCGCGACCACCCTTCATCCCCAATATCTATTTACCGTATGTCGTCCATGACCTTTGGAGCCTGTTCTAGCCCCTCCACCGCCATGTACATAGTCAATCTAAACGCATCAGAATTTCAGGAGGAGTTCCCGGACGCTGTAAATGCCATCAGAGCTGATACATACATGGACGACTATATAGGCAGTATCGATACGACTGAGGGTGCAGCTCGTTTGGCAGCCGACATTGTCGAGGTCCATAAGCGCGGAGGTTTCCTCATGCGTGGCTGGATCTCTAACGACCCAGGTGCACTAAGCCTGTTGCCAAAGGATTTGTTACCCGAGGTCACAATAAGCAGTAGCGTAGATCTCGGGATACCTAACTTCTCTCGAACCTTGGGATTAATTTGGCAGCCCTCGCTGGATATTATTGGATTTAATTTAGGCCCGAAAAATGTTTTGTCAAATAAACTGACAAAGCGCCTAGTTTTAGCTGAAGTTATGCGTATTTACGACCCGTTAGGAATCCTAGCACCTTTAGTAGTTAAGGGTCGTATCCTTTTTCAGAACCTGTGGCGAAAAGGTCTGGATTGGGACGAGAGTCTATCAGACGCGGATGCATGCATTTGGCGATACTGGTTCGATAACCTAAATTCTTCAACTAACCTAGCGATTCCTAGGTGTTATAACACCTCAAATAGCGAAGTGGCTGAAATTGAACTGCACGTATTTTGCGATGCTAGTGAGCTGGCTCACGTTGCCGTCGCTTATTGGCGATTCATTTTCACTAACGCGAAAGTTCGACTAGCTCTTATTGCGAGCAAAGCACGTGTCTCACCTTTGAAGCCGTCTTCCATACCACGTCTCGAGCTGCAGGGTGCCCTGATAGCCTCTCGGTTAGCAGACGTAGTTTGTAAATCTCATCGCCGTAAACCTGACCGTCGCTATTTCTGGTGCGACTCAATGACAGTTCTTGGGTGGTTAAGAAGTGATGCGAGGAAGTACAAGCCCTTCGTTTCGCACCGCGTAGGCGAAATAATAGAAAACACTAATATTAATGACTGGCGTTGGGTTCCAACAGCTTAACGTAGCAGATGATGCTACTAGGGGCAAATGTAAAGTGCTGAATGTTGAGTCGCGCTGGATAACTGGTCCGAAGTTTCTTCTATCTCCTTCCTCTGAATGGCCTACCGAAGCTGAAATCATAACTTCCACTTCAGGGGAAGAAGAACTTAAGGCTTTATTTCGTAATCAACCGCCTCAGCCACTCGTCATGTCAACGTCAACCTCATGCGTCGTAGAAAAAGTCAATTTTAATAGTTCGGGACAGTTGCCTATACCATTAACAGTAGATGCAACTCACTTTAGCTCTTGGGTTAGAATGTTAAGAGCAACTGCACGACTACACCAGACCATTGCAACCATCTTCCATAAACCCATACATCAGGGACGATCATTTTCGAACCCACTTATCAGAGACATAGTGATTGACTTTTTCAGCACTCGACGACAGATTCACAATAAGTGGCCGTCAACTGTTCCTGGTACCGTTAGGCCTTTGGACGCAGAAGCGATTGATCGCGCCGAATACCATGTGCTGCTAGAGAGTCAGTTGGTCACATTTAAAACGGAAATGTCATGTTTGGTTGGCCATGTACCTATTTCAAAGAAAAGCCGCATCTCGAAATTGTCTCCGGTATTAAACAAAAAGGGCCTAATCTGTGTATCAGGACGCATATCTGCAGCAGACATCGAAGAACAAGTTAAGTTCCCAATCATTCTCGACGGTAAGAATCCCGCTGTCCGCCTACTCATTCATCATCTGCATACAAAGTTCGCGCACGCTAATACAGAGACTGTACTTAATGAACTTCGGCAGCGCTATTGGATCTTGGGAGTCCGAAACGCTATCAGATCGATTATCCGAACCTGCCAAACCTGTAAAATGTTACGAGCTCCATTTTTACAGCCACCGATGGGAGACCTTCCAGATGTACGGCTCGCCCATCACAAGAGACCGTTTGTACACGTAGGGATTGATTACTTCGGACCTCTACAAGTCACAGTCGGACGCAGGCGGGAAAAAAGATGGGTGGCACTACTGACGTGCTTGGTCACCAGAGCGGTGCACTTAGAAGTTGTGCATAGTCTATCATCTGAGGCCGCAATCATGTGCTTACGCAGATTTATGGCTCGCCGAGGAACACCGGATATTATCTACTCGGACAACGGGACGTCGTTCAAGGGTGCTGATCGGCAACTACGAGTACTGTACGATTGTCAGGTGTCCGAATTTACAGCATCAAACCAAATAAAATGGCGCTTTATTCCGCCCTCGGCACCATTCATGGGAGGAGTCTGGGAACGGCTTGTGAAGTCTGTGAAGACCGCCCTCAAGGCTACCTTACGCGAGAGAGCCCCGCACGATGAGGTCCTGACCACACTACTGGCGGAAGCAGAAGCTATCGTGAATGCTCGACCACTGACGCACGTGTCACCAGACGCAGATTACCCCGAGGCTTTGACACCCAACCACTTCCTCATCGGAGGACCTGCGGGTAGTTCAGCGATGGACAGCACCGAACTCAGGGACTCAGATCTATGTAGCAGGAACAGTTGGCGTAAGGCACTGCGCTTATCAGACCATTTCTGGCGCCGTTGGGTTCGGGAATATCTTCCCACGTTGGCACCGCGTCGCGTACCCGGTGCCGTTACCTCGATCAAAGTCGGAGACCCGGTACTCGTTGGTGATGGTGATTTACCGAGGGGTACCTGGCCTCGCGGTGTCATAGAGGCATTGTATCCGGGGCGGGACGGGGTGGTGCGTGTGGTCGATGTCCGGACCCAAGCGGGCATATTACGGAGGCCGCTAAAAAAGCTTGTAGCTCTTTAAAAAAGGGGACGATGTGGGCGAATGCACACTTCTTTTTGATATTGCTATACTTTGTCCATGATTTTCTATATTCTTTGTTTGTTTATGATTTTGTTTTATGAAATATATTAGATTTTTCCTTTTGGCTGTCAAGGTTGTTTTTCTTTAATAATATAGAAAAATATATTATAAACCTGATCTAGTCACGGAAACAAAGATAACAATTTCTATCAATTGTTCAATCCATTTTCCCGTGATCTTCAAAAGATAATGTTACTTTTTAAATATTTAGGATTTTTTGTTGAGTTTTTTTATTCGCAATTCCAAGTTTAGCACGCTTCTTTTCTTTACGTAATTTACAAGTATAATAACGCTGTCGTTCTTTCATTGATCGAACAGCTTGATTAATTATCACCATCATGGACTCTCGAGTCAACTTGCCTCCGTTTTTCCATCTCTGGGTCGCAGCTAGCAACAACAATAAAGTGTATTTAATTAAAATCTTAGTTAACATTTGAAATAATAATCAAGGACAATAATAACTTCGGAGGGATAAAGAGTATATTATTATGAATCATACCGTGAATAGCGTCAGTAATTTGAGAGTGGTGGAATCCCACTTTCTTACTCTTCGATAAGCTCATCTTGATTGCGAGTTCTGGAGTTATGCATGCACTGACCATATTGCTGATTTGTTTTTTAATATTGACACCGCCCAAATAACCAAAATATTCTACCTAAAACAAATTTTTACGTTGTTTGAAATGATATTTAAGAATTTCATCTTTATAAACTTCGTATACGAAGAGCATTGAACTCATCAAAACTCATCTTACCAGTTGAGAAAATTCGAATTCCGAGAGATAACTGTGTGTTGCAAATTCTTCCATATTTTTCAATGGAAGATAACTTGGTTTTTCAACAAGTCCTCTCTTTTCCAATGCTTTTTCATGATCCCATTGTTCCAGCTTTCGAAGAATGAGGCTGAATCGACAAAGTATGTTGTAATGAATTTAATTTTGAGAATTTTCAATTTTTAAAACAAGTAATACATAATATTGACACAGCACCAGTTTCATTTAATGTATAATTATGTAATTTGAACCTGACATAAATTTGAGTGAGATCGATCGAGATATTTTTTGCACAGAATAAGAAGATTAAAAAAAGGCAAACTTAGAGCAAATTTTTCAACTTATCATTTAATTTATTACTTACTTCAATTTGTCGAGAACTGTATCATACTTGGCGTGTAGGTTATCGATTACTTGTCTGAAAATAAATAATAAGAAATAAATATAATATATGAGGTTTTATATAAATCTAAGTACCGGAATGCATGTCAATGAAATGTTTACCATTTATTTTACCTGCAATTATCTCCTGAGAGAGAGCTGCATATTCGATTATTTGAATCTTGCGGATATTTTTCTGAAGATTTGTCTATGTCTGGAGGTATTTCTGGAAATCTGGGAAATAATTAAAAATCTCATTAGGTACATTTTACGTTTCTAATCATGTAGTTCACTAAATGGTCTGAAAAGTGTCACAGAAAAATGTATCATATCGTTTTTTCTACGCAATTTATTATTTCTGTTAATTGTCGACCTTTAACTTATTCCCAGCTATGAGCATAGGATTGATACTTATTAGTTATCGACTATCAATATTTCGTCTTCAATATGTTTATTCTGGCTATTGCTAATTATAAAATAAGAAAACACGACACGCACTAATGTTGACCGAATATTACCGATCTCAACCGAAATTTAGTTTTCTAAAACATGATTCGCGCGCTATGATGGGAATTTATCTATGATGTTCTGTGTAGTGTCCCCGAATGAGTGTAACTTAATTAGCACAATCATTTCATCGCAGTTGTCTTGACTCTATTTATGAATTTTATACCTGTACAATCTTTTTTTTGGTGGTTGTCGCGGTACCAAATTAGTGTAGGTTTTTCCTCTCTCTTCATGAATTGTTTCCATGGAATCAGCCGTACTGGTAGTCATCATAATGATCTTTTCTTCAAATCTGCAATGAAATCGAATCAATATTCTCGCTACTATTCAAAGAAAATTAATCCATTAAAAACTGAATATTTACAGAAAAATTTGAACTTTTATTATCATTAGTGACTGGAATAATAGTCGAATTCTATGTACAGAGTGATAGAGTTCCTTTCCAACAGTAATATAACGATCTATATGCGTATACCCAGTGATCACATGACTTTAATATGTCGTCATTAATAACTCATAGGAATGTCACAATATTTTACGTAAATCGGACTTAAAATTGACCTCTCTTGTGATCAAATTATGATATAAAAATTTGTGATATACTTTTGATGTCATATTGATGTAAGTTTATGACTTACCTATGATATGACACAATTATGATATTACACTGATATAAAATTTAACTTTTACATAATGTCATGTTTATGACTTAAATGTTACGTACATAATATATTATATGTACATAATGCTGTGACATCACATCAAAGTCGTAAGCTTACATATTATTAACATAGCAAGTAAATAATACAGTTACAAAAATTAAAAGTCATTGTGCTGACGTAAAAGTGATATAATAATGTCATCATATTTATTTTATATTTGCAAGAAGAAACGAGCACTATCATCTATTAAATGTTGTTGAGTACAATAAATATCATAAAACAACAGAATAAATGTTATCATTAACAAATTTTTTGAACAGTATTCAATACCCGTTCTCAACATAGCCTTACACGGGATTGTACGTAATATTAGCAATATTGCAATTTAATTTAAATTTTTTTTTTCAGTATTTACATATCGAGCAATCATTACAATCAATGTGAGATAGGAGTAACTAATTGTAATCAGTTCACAGAGTAAAAATTATTTACGTGCTGGAACATTCATATCTGGGATGAATGTGTCTGCCATCTAAAATGAAAGCTAGAATCTAAGTTAGAAATCATGAGTAACTCTAAGTGATATATATCGCAGAATGTGATAAACTGTGTCCGGCTATCGTCTCCACTACATGCTACAATTCAATGTCTTACGTGTGTATGCTTGGACCTTACATTTACTACTGAAAAAGGATAATTCTATCTTTCTCTTCTGACTTCAATAGCTGTACGAAAGAACTAGATAAATATATCGAGTAAATTCGTCGTAAAACAGAATATTGCAGCGCACCGTCGGCAACCATCTTAGTTGGGCCAGTGGCATTCGATGTATTAAAAAGTAAGCATATGCTCCATCCTATTAACAACTCGCCCCAAGCCGATGTAATTTGTTACTTTTTTGCTTCAAGTCTTGTAAAATAAACCACATTTTTCTCATACTCCTCGAGCAAACTTTAACTACATAAGTTAAAGTTTGCTCCTCGTTTTCAGATCCGAAAGTGACGTATTCTATCCCGCATAAAAAGACAGAAAATCGTCTGTGCGCATGCCCAGACGGGTGTTGTGTTTCCTGTGAGAGAGAGAACGTTACTTTTCCAACCTCAAAACAGACAACAAACTTTAATTTTGGACGATGGTATGATAAAAAATAGTATGTTGGCCATGGGAACAAAGTAAGATATCCTTACCTGGCTGTTTGCCCCCCTCGTCTTCAGCTCGGGATTCAATTTAACCTCCAGGTCAGAATATCATACTTTGTGCATGCTCTGTGTACACGTATACTTACAGAGGGTGTCTCATAAGTAATGTCGGTTTTCATGTCGTAACTTGTTAAGACTAGTCTCTATAGAAAACAATGACCATAGAATACGATGGGCTATACTTCGAATATTAAGGCTTTCTTTTTGTATGATTATTTAATAAACAAAGCGAACATTGGAAACCGACATTATTTATGAGACACCCTCTGTAGTATTAAAGTATAGGAGCGTCCACAGTATAAGTGCTATAAGTGTGACTCGGTGTGCAATACTAACATTACATTTATGAACACAAGAACAGTTACACTGAGAAAAGAGTTTGGTCTCATGAACCAAATCTATTGAATTGGCACTTTTCTTCCAACATTTATTAATTATTACCAAGTTTTATCAAATGTAGTCGTAGCCTAATAAACTCGTATATCTTGAGTCAAAGCAAGTAGGTATTTATTTGAATTCATTTCGTTGGCATGAATAAGTATTGCTTTAACATACATTATTATTCATTATTTTAGGTTTAGTAATTATTAATAAAGATTTAGTAATAATCACTAATTTATATCTTGAACCAGCTAATAATTCATTCAATTGAACGATGCTGGTTATTTCTTAAAAGAAGATATTGCTTGGTGCAAATTTTTAAATATTTCATTGAATATAATATATGGTCCGTACAAACAAAAGTTATTCCTCTATGAATGTTGTTAATTATTCTGTAAAAACATGATTAGGTTATAATTTTAATTATTTGATAAAAATTATTATACAATAATCGAATTAAGCAATTAATATTGTAATTACTTTTATTATCTTTTACCTGAACTTTTATTTTAAGTAAAAGTAATACATATATGTACATATATATGTGGAATAAATATACAAATACTAACTATAACAGGCATGTATGTATATAAATTAAGTTCTATGGATAATTTGTGCTGAGTTTGCGAGATCTATGGTGTATTTCAATTAATAAATAAACTATATAAAAGTATATAAAAAATTATTACTTGGAGTACAATTTTCTTTTTTTTGGTGGTTGTCGCGGTACCAAATTAGTGTAGATTTTTCCTCTCTCTCCATGAATTGTTTCCATGGAATCAGCCGTACTGGTAGTCATCATAATGATCTTTTCTTCAAATCTGCAATAAAATCGAATCAATATTCTCGCTACTATTCAAAGAAAATTAATCCATTAAAAACTTGAATATTTACAGAAAAATTTGAACTTTTATTCTTATTAGTGACTGGAATAATAGTCGAATTCTATGTACAGAGTGATAGAGTTCCTTTCCAACAGTAATATAACGATCTATATGCGTATACCCAGTGATCACATGACTTTAATATGTCGTCATTAATAACTCATAGGAATGTCACAATATTTTACGTAAATCTGACGTAAAATTGACCTCTCTTGTGATCAAATTATGATATAAAAATTTGTGATATACTTTTGATGTCATATTGATGTAAGTTTATGACTTGCCTATGATATGACACAATTATGATATTACACTGATATAAAATTTTACTTTTACATAATGTCATGTAAATGTAAACTATATAAAAGTATATAAAAAATTATTACTTGGAGCACCGATAGATGTCGAAACTAGACAAATATCAATAAGTTCGATTTACAAATTATGAATTGTTGATACCAAAATTAATTCAGAAATTCAAACAAACTATTGTTATTTTATAGTTATTTCACTTCAATTGGCAGTGCCTTTGACTTCCTGGAAGTTTTTTATCTGGTGATCTTCGTATAAATGTTTCATAAATTTTCCGATTTGATCTATTAAAACTAATGCTCGATCCAAATTTACTTATCCAATTTTTAAGATGAATTAATAATGGGACTTTTATTACTGCTCTCCCTCAAATTAATGAAATTATGTCTGTTTAAAAATTTAAGGCATTCATAATTTACTTCTTACTACATCTTATGCCATAAAAATTTTAAAAACACATCGCTACTCACTAGACAGACTGATCATTGCTGGTCTTACACCACGGACTTACGCCCTAAACAAACTATATTTCATGCGCCGAAGGACTCAGAAATACTGCCGAAAACCTGTATTGGTACAGCCAGCCTGATGAAGAGATTACTTGCTGATCGGTAATCTTTTGGAAAACCATGTTCGAATTTAGAAAGCTTTAAATTAGATAACAGAAAATAAGTGAGAAGATGCAATCAAAAATATGTTTAGGTATTCTTTAAATTTATCAAGTGGTTCGTGCATATCAGTGGTTACGATAAAAAGAAATGAGGAAAGAAACAGTTAATCTATATTGATGAACAAGCAAAATAACTTTGCACTCAACATTATCTCGTTTGAAACCGAGTGCTACAAAATGTAGTAATAGATAAGCATTTTTTCTATTTTTACTGCGACGAATTCTGTGCTCGACGCCACGTCTACACACTTCCAGTAAAAAAATCAATACGGTGTTTGTTGTCAGTTGAAAATAAATGAAAGTGAATATACTTATAATATTATCCACTGAACTTACTTGAATTTATGTTGTTTAACAATAGTTCAGATTCATTTAATTCGAAAAACACTTCAATAATCACAAACAACCATTTCGCAGTTTAGTTGCGCTGTTAGATCTAACGCGACTGCATAACAATGTACTCTATGGCGACTGCGCAAAGCAGCCGTCGCTTATTGACTGATGATGTCTTCGAGATAGGAAAACACGACACGCTTTGTGTTGACCAAATATTACAGATTTTAACCGAAGTTTAGTTTTCTAATGAGATGAAAAATGATTCACGCATAAACATACGACTTTTCGGAATGACTGTGACGATGTATGTATTTTTTTCGATATGTATTTTTGTATCTCGAGATGATATTAATAAGAATCCAGTTTCATTCAATGCATAATTTTGTAACTTAAAACTGATTAAATTTCGAGCAGAATCGGTCGAGCAGTTTTTGCGCAAAATGAAAAAAATTTAAAAGAGCCAAAATAGCCGATTTTTACAATTCATGAATATTTTTTTTTCTGACAATTGAGGGTTTTTCTAATTTTTGAAGTTATACTTCTTTAGGCGCGTTATGAAAAAATGATGAGAGTGAAATTTTAAGATGCGCGCGCATCACTGTAACACAAAATTAAAGCAGACTTTTTATTAATTTATTGTAATTTTTTCCAGACTTTTAATTAATTTATTGTAATTAATTATTTGCATGCAATTAAAAACTAATTTTAAACGATGCCAAAGAAGGATAACTTCTCACGTGCCTACATAAGTACACGCACCCATTTTTTTGTTACTTTCCACTGGGAAGTTAGTTGTGTAGATCTCCCGGGTCGCACCCAAACCAAATTTTTGATTTTATGATGTTTTCGAGATAGGAAAACACGACACGCACTAATGTTGACCGAATATTACCGATCTCAACTGAAGTTTAATTTTCTAAAACATGATTCGCGCGCTATGTTGGGAATTTAATGTATAGGTTATATTTTTGTTCTTTAGTGTTTTTCTGTTTTGAAAAAAAAACTTTGATAGTTTACGAATAATTATAACGTATGCAGGCAAGTTTTGACAGATGAAAATTTAATGCACAGGCTATTTAAAATGTCATGATAGGGTTGTTCTTTATACTATGAGCGTTCGAAAGATACCGGAATTATTCGGCTAGTTCCGATTATTTTCGGTCAACACAACTCGTGTCGTATTTTCCTATCTCGAAAATATCATGATTCCAAACGATAGGAAATAACTTTATTGAACTTCTGATTGTCACAGTATTCATCGCTTTTCGGTTCCCTTAAGATAAGTGATAAATTATTAAATTAAATTAAAATTAAATAAACGTTTATTGACTTAAAGCAAGTTACAATATTTTAAATTAATAATACAAAAATTGGTGACAAGAGGCACATTGGAGCTTATATATTGTTAAAGGTGACTTCTGTTGCCAGTGGTAGGATAACCTGTATTACAGGCAACAGGGTCCCCTCTATATACGTAAATACTGTAGCCGATTTAGGTGTGCGCACATTGGTTGCATGATTACTTATATAGATATATGAACTAGTTATAAAAACTACAGAAACCGACAAAAACTAAATGCTGCCGTATTTGATTACACAATAAAGTGTTCTAATTAATTATTTACTAAACACTCCGTCTCTTCGTAATCCATACCTTTCAGCCATTTGCTAACTTTTATTTTGCAGTTATACATTGTAAGGGAATGAATAGATAAAAGAGAATTTAATTTTTTATATAATTTTGCGCTTATATATTGGTAGTTTTTTCGGGCAAATGAGGTTTTACAAATGACATTAGGGAAAGGTTGCTTGGGTCGTCTAGCAACTTCTGAGACAACAGGACCGGTCGGTGCCGGATTAGATTTATGAAACCGAAGAATTGAACGTAAAATATACAGTTGCCGTACCAGTGAGACCGAGTTGGGTATCTGTATGGTTTCCGGAGAAGAACCTTAAGGACCGCTCGCTGCGCACGTTCCAAGTGAACGAATTTTGTTTTTGAGGAACCCAACCCCCCCCCCCCCATATTGGAATACAGTATGAAAGAATTGACTCAATTAGGGAATTATAGTGTGGAGAATAGAGGGATTAGCAGAATTTCGAAGTCTTTTTGCGATGAAGATGAATTTCCTCAAACGGTTGGATAACGACTGGATATGTTCATACCAATTTAAACATTGATCCAGCTGAACACCAAGGTACCGAACTGATGATGTCCTGCCAATTAAGGGACAAGCACAGAGGTGGGATAGATTTCATGTACAACACTGATGCGCTTTTAGTTTTATCGAGTTTAATGGTGGCTGAGCTGAAGGCTTGATGGAAAAGGTGATGAACGTTGTCTTGTCTATGTTTAAAGTGATTTTGGGAGAGCCAATTCATGACTTGTGCGAAAGCCCGTTCGGCATGTAATGCTGCTTCTTCCCAGGTTTTTCCATGTACAAGGATGGCTGTGTCGTCAGCGTAGGAGAAGATATGACAATTTGGGATGGAATTTTGACAAAGGTCGTTAACATAGACGTGAAAGAGGGTAGGCCCAAGAATACTACCCTGGGGAACGCCGCAGTCTATAGAAACGTCATCACTTAAGCATGTGTCAATACGAACGCACTGCTTTCTATCCGAAAGATAATCTGAGAATATATTTAAAGTAGATCCCCGCACACCAAGAAACTCCAGTTTCTTTATAAGTATGGGAATGGAAACTGTGTCGAATGCCTTGGAAAGATCTAGAAACAGTCCAAGGCATTTACGTCTCTCATCCATTTTCTGTACAGCAAGTCGGGTCAATGAGAGGATAGCATCTTCGGTGGAAAGTCCCTTTCTAAAGCCAAATTGATTTGCTGAGATGAGTTTATTGTGCTCTAAAAAACCCACCAAGGCATTATTTAAGACACGCTCCAAAACCTTTGAAAGTGTGGGTAGAACGGAGATGGGGCGGTAATTTTTAACTGAGGTTCTGTCATCTTGTTTGAAAATGGGGTATATAATAGCCCTTTTCAGTGCCGTAGGAAATTGACCTCGTTCAAGGGATATGTTACATATGTGAGTAATAATTGGCACTAAGTAAGTACTACAGGATTTCAAAAGTTCTGCAGAAATGCCATCCCAGCCTACCGCACTGTCAGAACGAAGAGAGTGAATTATTCTTTTGATTTCTTCTTCATCTACCTTGGGAATAGCCAGAGAATTTAAAAGAGATTGGGGAGTATTCACAGAGGGGGTGTAATTAAGGTTAAGTTATAATTTGTTCGCAAGTTGACTACCAATTTCCGAAAAATATTTATTGACTTTATTAATTGATTCAATTTTTGTTTCACTGATATTTAAAAGTTCAATAGGATGTGATTTTGTTTTGTATTTGTGATCTTTTTAATGAGTTGCCATGTCTTTTTAGGGTTATTATTTACTTTTTTGAATTCGGATTTCTCGTATTCATTTTTTAGACTTTTCAATATGTTATTGCAGAAATTACGGTAACGCTTGTATGTTATGTTAAGAATAAGATTATTAGGTTCAGTTTTTACTCTTTTTTGTAAATTATTTCTGTTATGTATACACCTTAATAATCCGGGAGATATCCACGGTTTAATTATTCGCTTCCTCGAAGGAATTCGAATAGATATAGTATTTGTACTTGGGTCATTGATAAAAAGTAAATCAGACAAATCCGTTTCTCTTAATGTTTCAGTAACAGCCTGGTAATTAGTATGAGATATAAAGCGACTAATTGTTTGAGGATTATGGGCAAAATTGAGGCCTAGCAAAACCGCTTGATGGTCGGTTACTGATGATTCAATAACTAGGGTAGTTGCCAGGTTAGAAGTTTTAAGTAAAACATGGTCTATGCAGTTGTACTTTCTAGTGGGAATTGTATGCGCTGGCAAAAGTCCATGGGAAACAGTTACATTGAGATAATCCTCAGAATGTCGATCAGTGTTACCCGCTTTGATATCGATGTTGATGTCACCAATTACAACAATATTATGGAAAGTTCCAAGTTTAGACAAGTTATCATTTAAGTCACTCATAAAAGAATCAGTGTTCCTAAATGAGGGAGGCCTATACAAAGCAATTATTGCAGTGTCTTTTCCCATTGTTAATATTAAACAATTAGCTTCCTCAAAGTTTGGTTCATATACTGTGATCTGGGCTAGTTTGTCATTAACGAATATAACAAGTCCCTCATTTTGACTCCTATTTTTCGACGTCGAATAAGTATTATAACCGTCAAGAGATGGTAGATAGTCAGCTTTGGACAACCAGCATTCACTTAAAATCAAAATATCACATGCAACCTTGAGTGACTCCAGCAAAACTACAAATCCGTCAAAATTCTTATTAATACTCCGGATATTAAGGTGCATCATAGTAAGCGTATTATTTAGGTTATTGAAATACTCAACACATTCCCCCGGATGACAAATATATGAATTGGAGACCTGCAAATTATCCAGTTCAGGATTTAGCTCTACAAAATTTGAGAGTTATAATTTAAAATTATGTCTGAAAAGCATGGATGTAACAAAACATAAGCAATAAACAAGCATGGATCTCTTAATGAATCTAGAGAGAAACGGCTTAGGGTAACATTTTTTGAGTTATTTTGAAAATACAGCTGCATGAATATATATGTAAGGAGTTTACAGTTACAATTAAATTTACTATACCAGTTTAGTGAAAAAGTAAATGTGTAGTACGATAATATGAAATAAAACAATAAAACTAAAAGATGATAAGCTAGTCACTGCGACTGCTTCAGTAAATTAGCTAAGCATTGTTCGGTTTTGATTAGAATTTGTTTGGTCGTGAGTTCTTTACGTAGAAATATATTGCCATTTGAAGACCAGCAGAACATGTACTTATGTTGTTTCGCAAACTCTCTGGAATAATAGAAAAGCTTTTTCATTGTGGGTGGAAGATACTCGTCCACAAATACAGGCCTTTGCTCGCCAGGAACTCCAATGTGAGACGTGTTGAGTTTCACTTCATTTGTTTTTTTCTTATTAAATGACTTAGAACATGCCAAAAATTGGTGTTTTGTTTGTACGCAAACAAATTCTACAATTATGGGTTTATTGGCGCCTGGTTTTGCCGGCAAACGACGAACGTCTCGTATGTCAGAAAGAGAAACGTTTCGATCAATTGTCATGCCGATTTTTGTTACGATCGAAACAAGATCCGTGAATGTTTCCTTATCCGTGGCTGGTACATTCCTTATCTCTATTGACGCATTTCGTGCATTTAACTGAAGGTCCCTTAATTTATTTTCCAAAGTTTCCGTATAGTTTCTGAGTTCAGTCCGTTCTTTTTCCAATATTTCGATTCTAAGCTTCATGTCTTCGTATTGCTGATTTATAAAACTGATAGAATTTTCTATATCTTGATTCGTTTTTTGAATCTGCGCATTTTGAGATTTTATTTCTGCAACATCTGCCACTAGTTTATTCAGAACGCAATTTTGATTTTCAATAAGCTTCATTAGGTTAGCATCACGAGTATATATCATATCCAATATGTCAGATTTTACAGGTGACACCTCCGTTCTTGGCCGTTTATTCCGAGGGGGTAAGTTGACACTATCATCCACTGCCTTATTCTCCAATACGGATTTCGATAAATCAGGTTCAGACTGCGTTTCCGCTAAGTTTATGTTCGACATCGAAGGAGGTGAGCGTTGAACCCTGGGCATTTTATATTGATTCACAGAAATGTCAACATGGTCTAGGTAAGCGTGCGCTTTTGTAGATAAATTTTCAAATGGTCGAAAGAAGATAAATATCACTTAGCTTAGACTTGGATCCATCCGTAGCAATCCGTCTACAGATGCCGTAGCGAGAACAGCTGTCGTAGAGCGGCCGTAGTTCACGTACTGACGTCAGAGGTCGGTAAGGACTCGATATTTGGATCCTGCTACGATAACCGCTGTGGCGTAATGTTTCAATTGCCGCGACCGTGCGCTCACAAACTCGGTTTCGAATCCAGTTTCTCCCCACAAGATTTTTATTTGGCTAATAATAGATCTCCATTAAACACCGTGAACACAAAATTATAGCTGTCCCACTCTAAGACCGCCCAAGAGGAGGAGCCAGTCCATAAACACTTCACAGGTGCAACAAGGAATTGAACTTTAGAACTACAAACCAATCACAAATTTTCGATTAGGATTTTAGATAAAAATTATGAAACAACAAGATACACGTCCGCTCTGCGCGCACACTCGAGGAGGAGCCTCATAAATGATAAAAGTTTCCAGTTATACACTTTGTCTGTCTCTGTATATTGCAGTATGTGCTAATCTGGTTGATATGAATCTATCGTGATGAGTATAAACGAATGATTGATAATTGGTGGCAGAATTAAGTGAACATTGCATTTCATTTTATGCATATCCAATCAATCGATTGACTACTGGAGTGTCTTTTCAGAAATTAATTATTTTCTCTTCTTAAGTTAGATTATTTAAGGGATGACGAAAGATTGACTATTGAACAAATATGCGCAAAGTTTGCAGATGTTTTCCACTTGCCAGGGGACAAGTTAACGTTTACAAACGTTTATAAACAATCTATTACTTTGAAGGAAAACACTTCTCCCGTTTATAGCAAACAATATCGTATTCCATTTTCACAAAAACAGGAAATACAGAACCAAGTGACATGCTAAAAAATAATATAATTGAGGAAGCAAGTAGTGAGTGGTCGAGCCCACTGCTACTAGTGCCTAAAAAGACTAATAGGACTGGCGAGCGTAAGTGGCGCGTCGTCATAGATTATAGGTCACTTAACGAACGGATTCAAGACGATAAGTTTCCCTTACCAAATATTACTGAAATATTAGACTGTTTATCCGGGGCTATGTATTTCAGTCATTGCGACTTATCTCATAGTTTTTACCAATGTAGCTTAGAAGAAGGTAGTAGAAAGTACACAGCATTCACTACAGACACAGGACAATATCAAATGTGTCGGTTACCAATGGGTTTGAAAATTAGTCCTGCAGCGTTAAGTAAGTTGATGACAGTAGCAATGTCGGGCCTTAATTACGACAAATGCCTAATTTACTTAGACGATTTAATTATTTTCGGAAGAAATTTAGATATTCACAACAAAAATTTAATTTCAGTACTCTCGAGACTTAGAAAGGTAAATTTAAAACTTAATCCATCTAAGTGCGAATTTTTAAAATGCCAAATACTGTATTAAGGTCACATAATAAGTGAAAATGGCATTCTACCGGACCCTGAAAAAGTTAGCGTCATTAAAAATTATCCAAGGCCAACGTCAGTGGATGACGTCAAGCGTTTTGTTGCTTTCGCTAACTACTATAGGAAAATTATACGTAATTTTGCTCAAATAGTAATACCTTTGAACCATTTATGCAGAAACAATATAAAATTTGAATGGACTAATGATTGTGAAAACTCATTTTTATTATTAAAAGACTTGTTGATAAACCCGCCAATCTTAGACTTTCCAAATTTCTCAGAAAATAATTCATTTATTTTGCAAACGGATAGTTCAGGTTTTGCGATTGGGAGTGTTTTGAGTAATGGAAACGGTAAACCTATAGCGTACGCAAGTCGCAGTTTAAATAAAAGCGAATTAAATTATCCAATAATAGAAAAGGAGTTATTAGCAATAGTGTGGTCAGTAAAGTATTTTAGGCCTTATTTATATGGTCGAAAATTTATAATAAGAACCGACCATAAACCACTTTTATATCTTTTTAATATGAGCGAACCATCTAGTCGCCTAACTAAATTCCGTTTATGCTTAGAACAATACGATTTTGATTTAGAGTACATTAAGGGTAAGGATAACGTTACAGCGGACGCATTGTCTAGGATAACTATTACATCGAACGACTTAAAAGAAATGCATGAAAAAATAATTTGCGTGATGACGAGGGCGCAATATAAAAAGACACTCGATTTATCGAGGTCGAACAAGAACTTGAGATTAGAACGTCTTCGAAATTTAGGCCTGATCAACCTAGAATCGTAGAAGTTCTTAAAAAACTTGAAAATGACACAGAATTAACTATTATGTCAGAGGAAGTGATTCGTAATTTTTTGAAAGAGAACACTAGCATTTGTTCTAAAAATATTTTTTTATTATATTTTCCTAATAAATCACTAGTGATTATTAACCAAGATTCTTTTTTCGAGAATATCACGAGATGAGTTCTTGAAAGAATTGGTGAATTTTTGTTGCGAGAATAAACTAAAAGATATTGTAATTATAAATAAATAATGCAATAAATATTTTATTACTTGGCTAGCTAGCAAAATAAATAAAATTGAGAACTATAATGGTCCTACGTTTTGCATAATAAAGAACGTTCAAATAGTAAATACACAAGACGAAAAAATAATTGTTATGAACGATTTCCATTTACTGCCTACTAGCGGTCACGCTGGTATTAGGAGGTTGACAAATAATATAAAAAGATATTACTATTGGCCAGGAATGAATAAGGATATACTAAACTATGTGTCCAAATGTAGTCAATGTCAGAAGCAAAAATATACTAAGTTTATTAAAGAACCATTGCAGATAACTAGTACAGCTTTATCATCATTTGAAAAGGTTTATTTAGATATCGTAGGTCCCTTAGACCGAGATGATTTTGGTAACGTTTATATCTTGACACTACAGTGCGAGATCACAAAATTTGTTGAAGCCTATCCGTTAAAAACAAAAAGTTCTGAGGCGGTAGCAAAAGCGTTTGCGGAGAACTTTATCCTGCGTTATGGCATACCGAGAGAAATAGCAACAGACAGAGGAACTGAATTTATTTCTAATACTATGAAAGAGCTGTGCAAAATTTTAAACATAAATCAATTAATGTCTACCGCTTACCATCATGAAAGCATTGGGTCATTAGAAAATACTCATAAGTTATTAGGTTCATATTTACGTATACAAACCAACAATCACCCTAGCTCATGGAGCTCCTGGGTTCAATATTGGTGTTTTTCTTACAATACCACCGTTCATACAGAAACACACTATACGCCACACGAATTAGTTTTTGGTCAATTATGTCGCTTACCTAGCAATTTATGTAGCACTTTACAACCATTGTATAATTATGATAGTTTTCCTTGAGAGTTTAAGTTTAGGCTTCAAAGAGCACAACAGGATGCTATTCAAAATTTGCTTAAGAGTAAATCATTAAGAAAATGTATTTATGAGAAAAATATCAATCCTATTACTTATAATGAGAACGATTTTGTTTTACTGAAAAATGAAACTGGTTCGAAACTTGATACATTGTGTACGGGTCCTTATCGAGTTATATCCGATTTATCACCTAATGTGAAAATTGTTAAAGACAATAAAGAAATTATTGTTCATAAAAATAGGACAAAACCATTTGTATGTAGTGAATTCTTAAGGTAAATATAAAATATATTGTATGTTGTTGGTAATATAAAAAAAAAGTTTCTATTTTTTTTTTCATTTGTGGGGGAAGATGTAGTGTATAATAAGTGTATTTAGCAAGTAAGCAATATGGATTTATATTAAGTGACGCGCGTGAGTCGCGACAGCATTAATAATTAAGACATAGAAAAGTAAATATGTAATCTAAAAGGAATAAATAAATAGTTATATTAGTTTCATAATTGTTTCAATCAACGGCTGCTACGACAACCGTGGAGACAGGATGATTATGTGGGACTCGAACCCACTAAAACCACTAGGGTGTTCCTTCACGCAAACAGACGGGGACCATCCCCCCCTTATGGAAGCTTAGTAACTCCCTCCCTCGGCGAGGGTACGCCGGAACACGAACACACCCGAACACCACGAAGACCCTGATCCGACGACAGCAATCCCCATTACTGCCACCCAGCCCTCACTACGAGCAGTGAAGTGCAAACATTGCCGATTATCCCCACTTACCAACTACTTCTATATCCCTTAATTGATCATCTGATAAAGCATTCTTCATCCATAAATTATGCCAAAGGTTCAGTTCTCCAGTGATATCCAGGTTATAAAATTCTTAGAATGAATCTGCGTTCTTGTGTAAGTCTGTAATGCTGGTTTTGGTCATATACAAGGGATGTCGCTTACTTAAAGCAAACGCCGGAGTATTTTCTTGGGAGAATCGAATATTCAACGATGAAATGAGTGAATCAATGTATGGTATTATCAGAGAACGCCGCCAATATTCGTTATCATTGTCAGATGGCGGATTACTTCTATGTGTTTGCTTATGAGCAAGACGTGGAACCGAAATTTCTATGTTCAAATCCATTGCAACAGCTCGCGCTTTTTGAAGCATTTCATTACTTATTTTATCAGGAAACTCGCGGTCATTTCTGAGAATGTCCTTGATATTTTTGATGTGTTCCCCCACCGAGATCATGTCGATCGATTTAGCTTGCAGTGCGTTAACTACTGGTTCTAAAACTGCTGAATATTTGGCTATTGTTTGTAGAGCAACAATAAACACTGGTTTTGTAACGGCTGAGTGCACCTGATATGCAGATTTTCTGGTGGCATAATTTCCCTTTACGGATAACGTTTCTAGAGATTTCACAAGCTATGGAAAATGTTAAGAAAACTTTCTGATTGATTTATATTTTTCGGACCATCTCGTCTCACACAATCGTGATAGGTTTCGAGCGTAGTTTCGACGAGTAGTCGATTCTCTGAAAAACGTTATAACATCCTTAAC